TTAAAAAGTAAGAAATTTTTTTTATTTTATGTGTAATATTATTTTATTTGAAGAATGTGTGATTAGAAATGAGTACGGTAGAAAAATGAGAATGAGAATGAGATAAAAAATGGGTGTCAAACAGGGGCATATATTTTCATATCGGATGTCATATTCAATTGTTTGCCATCATCTCTCTTACTTTGAATATCTCTTTGTTCTATGTTATGCATGAATACTTCCTTCATGTCCATACATATGTATGCTCGTGCACATGAATATCACGTTATGACAGTGTTCAAATGGATATCAATATACATTAAAAGCAACATATAATTAAATCATAGTTAGAATACTCCAAGTGCAATAATAGATCTCCAATTATCACACGAGCAAATTATAACATAAATAACATTATTTTACATTATAGTTGAATTGCTTACCATTTTACTTTCCTATCCTAGTATTAACGGCTTCGTTTCTACACATTTCGCACAAAACTCAATTTGAAATTCAAGCAATCAAGAATCATCCTATATATCATATTTAGGGTCAAATGCCATCTAAACAGAGTCAAATGAGATTTCTAAGGATAGGAAATCAATACTCAGGAACCAATGCGCCGAACATGTGAAAAAAATAGAGTTCTACAATTGATTTAGAGCTTTTCACAATGTTTATAATTTGTCATTGGAAAGTTTATCGAGTCAAAAGTCCAACACATTTTACAGATCTCAATTTCAAGCTCTGAACAGAACGTTATGCATATTTTCGTTCAAATTGCGCCATTGTCAAAGTAGGATTGGACCCCTAGGGAAGGGGGTCGACCCCACCTCAAAAATGACAGGGGTCGATCCCTAGAGCATGAGGGTAGACCCTTCCCCCACAATAGCCAATTTTTTCCCAAAAGAAAAACGAAATAAACTGCCCTTATATAGATTTCATGGGGGCATGGTGCAATGAAGGAAAATTTCCTATTTGCTCCTTTAGTTTTCATAAAATATAGAAACTTACTTACTAATCCCTAAAGTTCTTAAAACCTTCAAATATTCCCAGAAAATATATGAACTTATAAAAATCTCAAAAAAAATAAAAAATGGGATTTTGAGTTCCAGGAGAGTATCTCCGCTATTATCACAGCTATAGATAACACAATAATGAATGCCATTCCAACTCCCAAGGGAAGATGAAGTTAAAGAGGTTGTTTTCTCCATAAATAAGGTCATTGCAACAGGATCACATGATTCAGCTCAGTTTTATCAACTTTGTTGATAAAAAATCAGAATTGACTTGACTGGGGTTGTGATTGATTTCTTTTCAAGGGCAGATGGTTCCCGAAGGTGGCTCTGCAATAGTGGTGGCAATCAAGTCGAGCGGCTCGTACTGTAGCAGCCCACGGACGAGCCGCTCGGGCTCGTCTTACCAATCGAGCCAGACGAGTCGAGTGGCTCGTACTGTAGCAGCCCATGAGACGAGCCCGAGCCCGAGCCGAGCGGGCCGGCTCGTTAGACGAGCCTGCTAGGCTCGTATTTATTTATTATTTATAATAATAAATAAACGCAAAATTCAGTGATCGTTCTGGTCACTTTAATTCAGTGACCATTTGGTCCCTTTTTTCTATAAATACCCACCAAAATCAACATTTTTTTCCCACCAATCTCTCATTCTCTATCTACTCTCTACAATTTACAAGTTATCAACAATATCAATATCATTCATTCATTCTATAAACATCTTCATCTTCTACATTTTTTTTACATAATTATCGTGATTTTACTTTTACAATTCATTTTATACACTACTACATAATCTTCATTCATTTATTAATTCTACA